TGACCAGCATAAAGTATATAAATAATTATACGGTGAACTTCAATGCTATGATATTATTACAAAAGACGTTTTGTAAAACTTAAGTATTATAAACACAATTATGAGAGGTTTAAGAATAAAATGGAACGTTTTCCGTCAACGAGATATGGTTGTTATTTGTGGTCTTTTCTTGTAAGCGCGTTTATTTTTACTTCTTCAAATTTCCTGGCAATGGTTGACTAACCTTTAGACCCACTCCAACAATCAAGAATAAAAGAAAAGGAGTTTTCAGTGGAGGAAACCGTGACCTCCATGGGTGATCCTTACAAGGATGTCAATAAAGCCAGCGAAGCCAGACCGAACTCACTATCTCGGATGCTTGTAGCTGGCAAAAAAGTTGTAGACCTTTGTCAGTTCAAACGATTTCGAAGTACATACCACTCCACTACCAGCAAAGCTTTATGCAATGGACTGAGAATGAACAAAGAGATAGATCAAAGATTATCTATACAGTCCCACAGCATATCAAAGATACTAGTGTAGGGTGCAAACACACGCTAGCTTTTACTATGTTGCTAATTTCTATCATATTTTCGGAGTTATTCAAATTCTCGCGCAAATCGACGCGAAAACATCGCCAGCGATGAATGGTGCTTGGAGAATGAGAAATGCGATAACACAACGAAGCGGATGACACCTGGCAAATTGGTCGATTCCTTCCGTCCCCCTCGCTCCACATAGAGAATGAATAATATATGAAGAGCAGAGCCACGTTAGCTGACGTTATTCGACCGAATGACAATTGCCACAGTCAACAAGCCAAAACGCAGGTATGGCTTGTAAAACGTAGAGGAAGGAAGCTAGGAGAAGCTAGGAGGTGGCACACATTTTCTCAACGAGTGAGCAAATTGTTCTCGTTCTAATAACCTTCACAGACTTGTTTAGCTTGTTTGCTCAATCTACATTCGCAGATTTTGCAAGCTTTACTTTATTATGCGACACCAACAAGTCAAGCCCAGTACATCGACACCGGGCCAAATTGGATATTGTTTTATATTGGGATATACAGTCGAGTAGATTTAGCGGTAAATATAGTGTGCTTGCACAGAAGGTGAAATGCGGTGAAATTTGCGCGTGAACAAGTAGCCACGCCAGTACTGCGGGTATTTTGCGCGCGCAATTGGCCGGCGTCACAGTCGAAGCTATTTCTTCACGCGCCAATTTTACCGCATTTCACCTTCTATGCAAGCACACTATACAGGGTGTCCCAAAAAAATGTATCGAACGTTTGATCGTTAATATCTCTCTTTCCAAGAAGTCTTTTGCCTTGCTTTAGGTACCGTTTTGTAGAGCTGGCTTCAACTTAGATTTACAGTATGGAGCGAATCACCCATCTATCTTCGTTACTGTAGAAATACGGTGGAAACTTCAAAGATGGTTTTAAGCAATGAAAGACCATATTTTGCCTCAGAAAGGAAACAAAACAGCCTGAAAGCTTTTACACTAGGCTAATTAGAGTTGCTGATTATAACTGTAAAGTCCACAACTTGTTATGATGCTTCATTGAAGAGTTATGCCAGGTAAGAGGTAGCGGCTATTTTTTCAATGTTCCTAAAAAGTGCGGTTACACCGTTTAGAAAGCTTCCTAACATTGTGAATAGTTGAATATTGAACTCGGCGTCCATAAAAACCTTATTACACAAGTTTCCACAATTTTTTGAAAAATTTTGAAACGGACGGCAGATTTTTCCACATTGAAACCATGAGTTTCAAGTTTCTAACATAATCCTACAGTAATGAAGAGAGATGGGTGATTCATTCTATGACGCAAATCTAAGTTGAAGCCAGCTCTACAAAACGGTATTTGAAGCAAGGCAAAAGACTTCTTGGGAAGAGAGATATTAACGATCAAACGTTCGATACATTTTTTTGGGACACCCTGTATTTACCGCTAAATCTACTCGACTGTATATAGAGAATCGTAAGTTATTTAAAAAAAAACATCAGATAGCGGGAACCGCAATGTGGTCCCGAAGCGCGCGGATGCAAATCTAGCACCTTTAGGATTATTGGTAACTAGTTGAGAAAAAAGCGAGGAGATATCGTTATTTGCTCTTTCTCGGGAGGAGCAGAGGAAAAATCGCAGACTACATCGAGTTCGAACCCTACGTTAGAAATGGTCCATCCAGACATCCTCAACGGTTTGAACAAGTCAAGATTCCTGCAGTAAATTTCAATCCATATTGGGCGGGATTGGGTTGGCGGGTATCCTCCTTCGCAACGGTCGGCGCCACCTACATTATAACATGTCGTGCCAAGAGCCCAAGTCTGCTTTGCGTCATTCTCCTCAGTCTTTGCTTGGCAGGATGCCAGCGTTGTGCAAAACAAAGAGTCCAGCGATGCGAACGCATGCTGCACGTGAAATGTTTCGCTTACTTCGGGTGAAACAGAACTGCGCATGCTCTAACACGATCTCGCACAAGGGAACTCAAAGTTGTGCCGTACAGATGCCTTGTTTACAACGAACACGCAAGATATGACACCAAATTTGTGTGCATATGAAAGTTTGTAGAAATGCGAGCGCTTGCAAACTTTTCTTAACCCTTTGGGACCTGGCGGTGGCAATTGCCACCACCAACTTTGAAGGACTGCTGCAACGCCGCTACAGCATGTTTCTGGCACTCCCGATTACAGTAGTTCTAGATGGCTTAAGATGGCTGCATTCGGCACGAAGGAACGATGGATCGCGCTCGGCCCCGCAATCAGACAGTTTAGTGTAAATTTTTTTTAAGAGCATTGAGTTTTTATTCATACTACTATTGTAACTGTTTAGTATGATGTCGTTAGAGAAATGTGTGGTAGTTGTTTGTAAGTCCACGTGTTTTTGCTATTTGCCATAACCTTCAGAATTGCCGTACGCAATTGCCAACAGTGGGCTTTAGTGGAACTTTGATGGAAGGTTTTTTATTCAGAAGATGGACCGCCAGCGAACTTCGACAAGAATCTAGCTGGCATATCTCAACAAATCACATTGAGAGAAGCTGCGGCGGCATCATTGGCGAAGATGATGTTGACGAGGAGTTCGGAGACATTGAAGAAAGCGACGAAAAAGAACACGAAGATGAAAAAGGAAAAATCTCTGGTGTCGCGAATGAACCAAAACAAGGAAGACCGGTGTCCAATTATTCGGATACCATGACTGCACCTACTGCCGTTCCAACAAAACGCGTGAAGCCCAGATTGACTCTGAGTGAAGTTAGATATGACAGCGTCAGACGCTGGCCGATACATGAGGATGGGAACGAACAACGATGTAAACTAGAATCATGTGTAGGACGTTCACGAATTCAATGTGAGAAATGTAACGTTCATCTTTGCCTGATAAAACATAGAAATTGCTTCAAAACTTTCCATTGTAAATAAGTGAGGTGTGATGAAAGTCGTTCCACTAAGGCCTGTTGGTGGCAAATGCCACCACTTTGTATTTTCTTACTGTATGGTCGAAAACTTTCCAAACTTATCTGAAGTGTTATTTATGTGCCCGTGAGTAAGCAATGATAAAAAGATTTTTTTCTTAAGGGCAAAAAGTCAGGTCCGAAAGGGTTAAATAAGCTGTATTGTTTCACCTGCGTAACAGCTGAGCTAGATTTACTCTTCGCTCATGTAATTCTTCATGGGTTTTGTAAATCTGCATTTGAAATTTTATGCTAGCACAAAATGGTTTCGTACTCCTCCTCTGCACTTTCCATAGCCCTCGAAAGTCGAACGGTGACGTAATCGTACCCGAATGTAAAGGGCGCTTCTCAGCGAAACAGCACCCGGATGTTTCAGTATTATCGGTTGGAGAGTTCATGTCTTTTCGTCGCATGTCTTTTTTTCGTCTATTATCGGTTCAAAAAGGGGGGGGGGGGGGGAGGGCAGCCAACATGAACGATAGGTTGTGCCAGCCATATGCGTTGCGTAGGTCAAATCTTTTCAAATTCCATATTTACGCTGATATCTCGAAGCTTGGAAAGAACGCTGGAAGCTCTGTAGGCCCTAATTTCTACTGTGCGACACCATTTTCAATCTAGTTTGGAACATACAGCTTCAAAAAATAAGACTTTATGTGCGACATATTGACAACCGCAGGAGTACAGTATGCTTATCGCCAGTTATCGTTCATCTTGGCATACACCTGTTCATAAACGTTCCTGGCTTCTGCTTCAACATTCTAGAGTAGTGTAGTGACCCCGAAGAATCTAAAAAGCCAAAAGCGACTTGGTAGAAATTTTGGGAAACTTATAGAGGGCTACGCTTGGAAAAACTCTGGTTCCAGCCCAGGTCTGACAAGAGTTCTACAATCTCCAAAGATCACCACAAAGTTCAACTCAAGTCCCTCATCAAAGGCAGTGCCCTGGCGAATTTTGGACCCCCTAATTCGAACGAATTACCAAAGCGGGATGCCCATGCAAGCTATAGCGCGACTGCGGGTGCAAATTTTTGCTTGTAGCGAGAATCTCGCTCCAAAGCGGTAATTTGCACTCGCAATGGAGAGCCTGGGCTTGAACGGAGAGCCCATTTTGGTAATGTGTAGAAACTGGGTACCCCGAAATATGTCCGGACACTGCGTTTAAAGGCAGCGTCCAGGCAAATTTAGACATTTGGCAACTCACGTGGATAGTAATTTTGGGGCACTACCCGGAGAGGCTATGTCAACTCAGTAGTGCTCTAACGGCTGAGATATTCCCGAAACTGGATCCCAAAATCGTATTTCGCATGGATTCATGGCGTAACTTTGGGTCCTTGAGCGAATCTGGTGGGTTGCGCCATGATTTATAGGCGTATATCTCAGCCATTAGTGAGATATACGCCCAAACGGCAGCGCAGCACTGCCGTTTGGGCAGTGCTTTAATTAATGCTCCAAAATCACTTTCCACGCAAAGTCCCCACAGGTCCAGATTTGCCTGTACGCTGCCTTTAACGCCTCAGAATGCACTAATTGCCGTCAAGGATCACTCAGTCCCAAAAATCGTTGAAACATCATGCTTTATTGTCTTTTAATTTACAGCGCACCGCATACACCTCATAGAAACAATGCTAACGAACTAGCAAGGCAGTGTAATTTTGGAAGTGTGGCACTGAGTTGCACCTCTCATATTATACGAAAGAAAAAGTGTATGAAGGGTTGATTTAAGTTATTTGCCGGCGGCATGAAGGATGGATCCGCTGCTCTAGTGAAGGGAGCTGTGTTGAGATGTGGGTTCGAAAAGACGAAGCCTCTAGATTTTACCTAAAAATAGACAGCAGTAGACAACAATAGCTTTTTTGCATCTTTTTTTGAAGAGTGTAACTCTGCTTACTATAGCTGAAGAGCCATACTGTCCCGGATTGTAAGGTTCATATGCTCCACCAAGGCAACTATGTAGAAATTCTTCGATAAATCCATACTGCGCCAAAACATTTCTCTCTTTGCGAAAGCCGTGGCCTTCATCCGGATAGAGCACGTAAGTTACAGGTATATTATGCTTTTTCAGCTCGTTTACAAATTGGTCTAAAACACAGATTTTTTGTGGGATAACGTTATTGTGCTATAGGCGATTCATCGCACGCCGAAAAGTCACTGTGGATGCTGTCTGCGTGTCAGCAAACGCACTCTCATTCCTCCAACTGTCTGGGCCTGTAGTAATCTCCAGAGACGTGATAAAATGAAAAAGCTAAGGTTGCGACAGCTCAAAGGCAACCACGAACCTAATTCGAGCTCATTCTCATACCGCAAACCACAGAACAATTCAACGGCTATCCATCAACACATCCGCCGAATTGCGTCAACGCGATCCGCAAACTAGCATGAGGCTTGCAAATTTCCAGCAGTATATGCTGCGTGCACTTGGCATCGAACCCTTGACGTGATGATCGCTACAGCAAGTATAGCCACGGTGCTATATCAAACGCTTCAAGGCTGTCATTTACAATGGATGGATGCAAGAACAGTCTGCATAGCAGGTATAGGCCGTCAGCGCTGCTCACTGAGAGCAACGTTGTTGCGTACACTGAAGACAGTTCACGACTGGAAGAAGCGCAGAGAAAACAGGCGGCGAGAGTGAACGAGAAAAGAGGAGTGACGCGCAACGCACACCTTGCGCACTCCCCGCGCCCTGCGCGGACGGCCTATAAGACAAGCAATCCATAGTAGTACTTTTAGACGAGTCTTATTCTCGCATTTTATTTGTTTATAATCTATGATTTAGGTCTCTATTATTCTCGTTATCCCAGATCACGAGCTTGGCGTAGTCAAGATCTAATTAGCACTCATTTCCTGCTCTCTTCCCACTACGCATTTTCTCTAGAAAGTGGAGGTGAAGTATCCACTCCGCCATAAATTTCACATCCAAAAGTACGAGCTCAAGTCGACTGAGGTCATGACTGCATTGAGCGGTTCGACGAATGTGCTGAAAGATAGCCGGCAAGTTGATCAATGACCTGCGGAACGAAACTGAGCGCTTAAATTGCAACTTTGTACATAATCTCCAATGCTGAGATACTACGGGCCCTGATGTTCTTGCTAATACGAACTATCTTGACCCGACGCAACGGTGTCCAGTCTTGCATGCGATGGATTGCTTATAAGTTACCTGACTCTTGTTGCTTTACTCGGGGATCATTTGCTCCTTGCATAATCAAAATTGGTTTCGTAACTTTGTCAGCGAAATTCAGAGGAGAACGACTTTCTAGTAATTGCCGTCCCTCTTTCCTATTTATAAATCTATTCAAAGAACACCTTCTTCAGCATTGGACCCACGTGGATGGGCTTCCGCCAAGACGTTTCTCCATATTCATTCGAAATCCTTCCCAATACGATGGCAATGTCTCCAACAGTGTTATGAGACTGGATGGTCCCACGATATCGATGCCACAAGCAAATGCCTCGGGAGATTTGGTTAGGGCGGTCAAAACTTCGTAACCACCGTAACTGGAGCCTGAAACAGTGTATTCACTCTAATCTTGCAGTTTTGCCAATTATCTACCAACTCAACTAGTATTGCAATCTGGGATTTATTTGCTATGCCATGGTCGACAGCAAATTCCAAAGCATCAAGGATATCGGAATGCATTTTTCGACCCCATTCACCATTGCCAGCATTAATAAATTTTCTTCCAAATCCGTTACTGCCGCGGAAGTTCACCTACAAAACACATATGTTCATATATTTTGGACTTCTCTTCTCGTTTTGATATCGGCTTGCCTGAAGCACAATATAGCCTCTGTTCGTCAGCCAAGCATTCACGGTATCAAATCCGTACGAATCTCTCAAATTGGGACCCCCATGCACGTTTATTATCATTTTCTGAGGCGTTAGTGGAACTATACCAATTTCTGCATATTCCCGGCTTCTTGCTGGTACATCTCTAGGCGAACGCAATGGGGTCTAAAAAGGAGATTTTGCTGTAACAATTATTTGACTTTTTTACAACTTACATCCGGTGGGAAGCTCAAATAGGCCTGGATAAGGAGACCATCACGGGCACGAAATGTGAATCCGACCATACTATTGAAACGATAGGGCTTCAGCTGAGGTTGGGTATCGAACAGTGGTACAATCTGAATTAAAAACTTGAAAAACTGAGATTCAGACAATTTATTCAAATTACCGCTTTACGCGATCGCCGATACAGAAAAAATTCAGCTGGTTTCTCTGCGAAATCATACATAAGCAAAAACAAGTTCTGATCTAAAAATCAGCTCATCCTCAAACAATTTGGATCCAAAGAAACATTCTTTACCTGTGGAATGTGATAAGATATACAGTGTGGCAGTCGACCTATGGTCTACCATTTTTTGAATGTCGTCCTGTATAGAACCATTGAGCGAATACCATTCGTTTTTATGGTACAGCTTGAAGATATTTTTATCAGCATTCTGACAATTTTGCCAGTAGACAGATTGTTCCAAAAGTGAATATGGCATGAAGCAATGAAAGTCCTCCACAAAATTATATTATTGTAAGACCATGAAACTTCGAAAAGATCACAATTAATTTTTGTAAAAGATTCCAGTTTGTCAGATGCGCGCTGCATGGATCCAAATTGTAGTATCAGGCTGCGGCATAAGTTCGTCCAAATTAAATTTTCGATTTCAAAATGTCATAACTTCTTTCAAAGTCTACTCTTTTCCATGATCTTAGCTTCCATTTGTTGAGCAGTTCTTTGGCTATCAGATGAATATTAAGATTTGCGAAAAAAACCTTTTTTAAAAAAGAAGCAACTCAAAAACTGCACAGCGTTCTTCTTCAGACCTGTCTTTTTTGACATAACAATGCTTCCTCATGAGAATTGACGGGCATGATAGTTAACCATGGATAGATAAAGAAATTTTCGTAAATTACTTTGCAAGTTGAAAAAGCCAAAGAAACTTCGGTGCTGAGAGATTTTTTTTGACCGAACAAAAAAAGAAGCTTTTGAATTCGCTTCGATACATGTGTGCATGCCTATTTACGAATTTTGAAAATTTCGAACTTGACTTGAGCAGTGAAGAGGAACTGGTGAATGGCTCGTGCTATCTCTTGCTTTACTCTACTTCCAACTTTGGACTCATCGATTGTCTCTATTCGCAGAAAGTTATTGCTTGTAGAATATTCATACAAAAGATCAATGTTCGACAACAAGTGTTATTTGCAAGACGCTTTCTCGATGAACTTGAGCTTGTGCATAGACTAGCCCGTCAAACCCTTATTCATCAACCAATCAAAGCACTTGACTTAGAGAGCATGTTGTGGAGAATTCTTACTTAGATACTTGGATGGCCCGTCCTCACGTGACGTGCGGGCCCCAGTACAGAAGTTGCCATTTTTCCCTGTCCCTCGCTTCAGACATCCATGATCTTCTTGGCCGTCGTCGGTGGCTGCGCCCACGAGTTCCAGGGGCAAAAGTCGTATCCAGCTGATTTCTCAGCTGGTCCATCCGTTCCACGAACACGTCTGCCCATCTCGTTGGTGGTCTTCCTCGGGGACGTTTGGCTTCGCGAGGAATCCACTCAGATGTTCTTAGTGTCCATCTGTCGTCTGTTCTTCTCATGATGTGACCGGCCCATCGATGCTTCGCTTTCGCAACGTAATCCGCTGGGTCACGAAGACGGGACATTCTCCTCATATCCGTGCTGCGAAGTCCAACTAAATGTTGCTTGCGTCGGGTCATCTTCAGAAGACTGCGCACGAGCGCACTGTAGGTGGTCCGTAAAGCTTTCGACGTGGCTACAGTGTCGGCCCAAGTCTCAGCTGCGTAACAGAGCGCCGGAAGAACGGTTGAGTCGAACAGGTGGGCACGAAGCTCCGGGTCCGTCAGTTGGTCGGTGGCTTCCTTCAGAGGCCCGAAGGCGGCCCAGGCTGCTCTTCTCCTCCTATTAAGTTCTTCCCTCAAGTCGTTCTCCATGTTCATCGAACGTCCGAGATACACGTAAGAAGACGTCTCCATAATAGGGGTGCCTTCCAATTCCATTACTGCATCTTCGCAAAGGGCGTTCCTCATGAACTGAGTCTTCTTCCGATTTATTCGCAGTCCGATCTTCTTCCCTACTTCGTTCAGTTCCTTCAGCATCGTCTCTGCTTCGGTGATACTGCTCGAGGAGAGAACGATGTCGTCCGCAAAACGAAGGTTGGACAGGAATCTCCCACCAACTCGTATGCCTCTCTCGTCCCAGTCCAGTGACTTCATCACCCACTGCAAGACCGCGGTGAACAGCTTCGGCGGGATTGTTTCGCCTTGTCGGACCCCCTTCCCGATTGGTATGGTCAGGGGGCGATGGAACAGCTGCATCGTTGTTGTTGTACAGTCCTTGTAGCAGTTGGCTAGTGTCCTCACGTAGGCTCGGTCCACTCCTTGATCGACTAGCGCTGACAGGATGGCGTTGGTTTCGACGCTGTCGAAGGCTTTCTCGTAGTCGACGAAGGTTAGGACGAGAGGCAGTCGGTACTCCCGGCAGACTTCTATGACCCTCGAAACGGTCTGGATGTGATCCATGCAGCTGAATCCTTTGCGAAATCCAGCTTGTTCTTGGGGTTGGGCTTCATCCAGTGTCCTTGATATGCGAGCGAGGATAATCTTCGTGAAAAGCTTGTACAGCACACTCAGCAGGCATATTGGACGATAGTTCCGAAGATCCTCCCTTTCACCCTTCTTGAAGAGAAGGACGGTTCTTGACGTTCTCCACTGGTCGGGAATCTTCTCCTTCTGAAGGTAAGAAGTCAAATGCGACGCTAGAATCTCATGTAGACGGTGTCCTCCGGCGCGCAGGTTCGACGGAAAGATGATCTGGTCCTGGAGCCGTGGACGTCTTCATGGTCTGTATCGCGATACGCACTTCAGCAGGTAGGATTTGTGGTGGTACTTCTCCAGTGGGAACAACGGGCATCTGCACGGGTGTTGATGAGCGGAAGAGGTTGGTGTAAAAGTTCTTCGCGATAGATTCCATCTTGTATCGGGAAGAAGTCGGAGTCCCGTCTTTGTTCAGTAGTGCAGCCAGCGGTACGTGATATTCGCAGAGGTCCCTTCGGCACTTCTTGAGACTTCGTCTTCTTTCGGCTGCTTCCAGTATCTTGGCTTGCCTGTACTTCCTGAAATCCTCTTGCAAAGCTGTTCTGCAACTGGCGTTGGCTACAGTCGCTCAAGATGGGTTGCGTTCGGATCCTGCCTCAAAAATCTTCTTCTTTCGAACAATTCCTTGGTGGTCTTCGAAATGCGTTCCAAGTTCTTCTCAGAAGTCACTGAGGCGCATTCTCCGCAGGCTCGCAATCCCTTCAGAAGCCGGTCGTAGTCGTACGTTGGGTCCTCCTCGATGGGCCAGTCACAACTTGATATGAGCTCTTCCAGCCTGTTACCGTCATAAACGACTTCCTTCCTTCTCGCGGCACTATGACAGACTTTCTTTTCCAGCCTTCGGCTGAGTCGTATCTTCGCTCGAAAGAGGCGGTGATCGGAGCCACTACAGAAGGATGGAACTACAGAGACATCGAGTCGATCTCAGCACGAGTCGTTCCGTTGGGCGATTCCCAAGTCCACCGGCGATGTTCTTTCTTCATGAAGATGGAGTTTCCATGGAAGAGTCGTGCGGCGGAGAGAAGCCCAACGAGACGGTTGCCGTTTTCGTTTCGGAGCCCATATCCAAACTTCCCGATCCTATATTCCTTTTCTAGTGGCATCCCGATTTTCGCATTGAAGTCGCCCACAACATACATGTAGAAGGACTTTTCGTTGCGGACGACCTCCTCCACATCTTCGTAGAAAGCATCTAGTTCTGAGTCGTCAGCTACTGATGTTGGCGAGTAGCATTTGATGATGCTGATGGTCTTCTGACGTGGAGGGCGTAGTCGTAGGATGCCTAGTCGAGGTGATAGGATCTCATGCGAATCGACAAGATGGACGATAGATGGATGGACGACAAAGCCGACGCCTCCCACGTTTCGTGATAGAACCTTTCCACCACGAATGATGAGGGTCCCATCACTCATCTGTCGCACGTCCTTCTTCCTGGACTTCGTTTCCTGCAGAGCGATGATGTGGTAGTTGATGTGCTCTGCAGCGTCGAGAAGAGCGTGGAGGTCGGCGTTTGTGGAGACTGTCCTGGCGTTGTAGGTGCAGAGCATGAGGCAGTCTCCATGGCGTGTCGTCCGGGCAGACGTGTCGTTTCTGTCCAATCCGAAAGGCGCCCTGAGTACCCTGACATCGTTCTTGCTACCACCCGGCGCCGTAGGCGGATACGATGTGCAGGGTTCCTTTCTAATCTTCTAACTGGAGGAGTAATATGAATTTTCCCCTACAAGAGGTGGCTTACTAGGCCTACTCTTGATTTCCACGGGGCGATCGCTGACCCCGGGCTTGGAGCGGCGAGAGACCGCCTAGCGACCAGAAGAAGCCAGACGGCGGGTGATCTGGCGTGGCCGGTTCTTAGCTAGGCATCCGGCCGAAACCGGAAACGTCGAACTCCTTCACAGCTTGGGAGGCCCTACCAGCGTATACACTCGGCTGTGCATCGCAGTTCGACACCCAGTGTCACCCCCACGCCACGATGAGGCGACCGACCATTGTGGGGGTGTGGAGAATTCCTCGTAAGAATATACAGAGTGTTCCAAAAATGTACACGCTGTTTGATCGCTAATAACTTTCTTGTTTTCAAGTATTTTGCCGAGCTTGAGATATACTCTGGACCGAAGTTCGACTTAGATTTACAGTATGGAGCAAATCAAAAATCACTTTTCATTACTATAGGATTACGTTGTAAACATTCAGCATACACTCACTGTGGAATAGGCCTTTTGATGAATAATTTTTAAAAAATCTTAAAACTTGTGTAGCAAGGTTTTGAGGCGTCAACTTTCCACCAGTTTTCAAGCTTTCTTGATGGCGTATTCACATTTTTGACAAACATTGCAGAAACAGTTGTCACTCTGAACCTGTTGTAATTTATAAAAGAAGCACTATACTGAGGTGCAATTCTCATATTTAGAATCAGTGACTTCGATGAACCCAGTTCAAAAGTTTTTGGCTCGTTTGGTTTTCTTTCTGACAAAATACCGCTTAACTCCGGCTTAAAGTTCGCCTCGAAGTTCCTACCGTAATCCTACAGTAACAAAGAGTGATTATGATTCGCTCCATACGTAAACCTAACAAGGGAAGTCATTTAACTTAGGTCGGCCATTTAAATCGACACACATATACTTAGAATCAGCTCGGAACGCTGATTCCAAATATGCTGTCTTTAGCTGCGAAGCGTTCCTCCGAAGCGAGTTATGAGCTTTTTAGTATGTGTAATTGACATATAACTGAATATGGAAAGAAGGCCTTTAGATGAAAATCTGCCTAAAAAAGTGGTGGGAAATCAAAAAAACATCAAACTGGGTCATTTGGCTTTGAGGTGTTGTATGCATTTGAACTACTACCTGGATGACGATACCGTAGCATGCCTAAGTCGGTCAGCACGTAAATTTTGCTCAGGGTAAAACTCGTAACTCGCTTCAGAGGAACGCTTCGCAGCTAAGGACAGCATATTTGGAATCAGCGTTCCGAGCCGATTCTAAGTATATGTGTCTCATTTTAAAAGGCCAACCTAAGAAAAGTGACTTCCCTTGTAAGTTAAACCTCGCTCTAAAGAATAGCACCCCAAGCTCGGCAAAAGGCATGAAGGCAAGAGAGTTATTAGCGATCAAACATTGTGCACATTTTTCGAGACACCCTGTATATCTCACAAGGGATTGGTCAGAAGTCGAAGTGGCCAATTCACACAAGCTGCATACCATTCGATGCAGCATAGAATGCTGATTTCAAATCTGTCTTCCATATCTGCAGAGCGCCTTTGTAGGTGAAGTTATGAGCAGCTTTATGCGAAAAAATCGTATACAAAAATTGCCAAATTAGGCACATTATTACTCTTTCAGCTCACCTCTAGGCATGGGTCATACGAATTGACCTAGTTGCATGTTTTGGTCCAACACTGAGCCGAGAATGGCCTTGTACGGCCAAGTTTGCCCTTTACACGCACAATTTTCTAGAAAATAATGGCCTTCAGCGGCCTATAACTTCGTCCACAAATCGCTCTGCAGATAAGGAAGACAGATTTAGAGTCAGCGTTTTATGCTGCATTTAATGGTATGCAACTTGTACGGATTGGCCGCTTCAACTTCTGACCATTCCCTTGTCAGATGAGAACGTATCTCGGCCACTTGGGGATCTTATCGTTAGGCCTGCATTCTCGTTAGACTGATATATTCATCAAAAGTTAAAATGTATAGAAAGAGCAAGAAAAACGCTTCGCAATGTACAAACAGTGTCGCATTACAGGTAAAATTCTCTTAGAACAGCTGCTTCCACGAGGAAAAAAAATCGGACACAACAATTTATCAGTAACCTAATATACATCTTTTAATGAATACATCTTCGAATTTTGATGGCGTTCAAAGCTCTCTTTTCTCTTAAATTCGTATCGCCAGTCAATAAGGATGCAAATTACGCTATGTATCGCACTGCCTGTCTATGATATCTATTGTTGAGCGGAAGGAGAAATCGAATAGCCCAGTAGAATTGACGCTTGACATAAGGCCGTAGTAAATCCCTTCACATCGTGACTCGGCTGAGAAGAGCCTCAGTGAACATACGGCGTATCAGCGCAGTATCAACCGTGCCATCGATCTTGATGCGGACCACTGTGTAGATGTTATTTGTGCGTTCTCAAAAAAGAGTACAATACCGCTCATAATTCGTCAAAAAAGTCGCCGGACTGCGGCGCACTGTGGCAGTGTGGTGGAGTGCGCCGCAGTCCGGCGACTTTTTTGACGAATTATGAGCGGTATTGTAGATTGCAGATTTAATCGAATGGCTAAAATATAGCGTTGCAACAAAATCATTCAATCTCCTTCTTCATCGTTTTTACGATGTTGGAGAGCAAGAAAAGGAGTAATCTTCTTATCTAGGGCCAATATTCCACGAGACTATTCAGAAATCGACGATGACCGCTGCCAAAGGCTTCGCCTAGCGAATGAGAAGAATAACTGCAATCTCAGACAAATCGCCGGAACTTCCGCAGGACAAGCCAAATTTGCAGAAGTTCCGCAGGATTTTGTTCACTATTGCAAAAATGAAAACGTTGGAAATCGGAACTTCCGCAGGATATTCATGCCAAACTGGTTGAAAACCGGAACTTCCGCAGGACCTTCTTCAAAATCCTGAAGAAATTCCGAAAAATGCCAGAGGTTCCGCAGCACTTTGGCCTGCCAGAACTTCCGCAGGACTCTGCCTGTGTTGTCTCGTGATGTGGCCTCGCCAACAACCAGAGTGCATCATCGAACATGTCAGCCGTAGCGTAGAGGATAGTAAGTGGGTCTCACAGTCAATAGAGTGAGGTTCAAATCTCACTCCAGTGTTCTCTTTTGCTGTTTGTGGTTGGCATTCTTCGGAACTTCCGCAGGACGTCATTTCGGAACTTCCGCAGCACGTTTACGGAACTTCCGCAAGTGACCCGGCGGAACTTCCGCAAACGCTCTGCGGAAGTTCCGGTGATTTGTCTGAAATATTAAGGTGAATAACTACGGAAAACTACGATGTTGGAGAGCAAGAAAAGGAGTTTCTAATCTTCTTATCTAGGTAGTTTCCCCGAAAAAAGTACACGCACCGCACCTCTTGCAGAGTAAGAAAAGACTTTTTTATTCCGTGGCTGAACCCGCTGTTCATCAATTCTCGTCTATTTGAGCCTTGAGACTGTGCAATACGCGTTCTTGTATCACAAAGATATAAGCTCCTGCGAGACGAAGGCGGTTGGTTCGAGGCGCGACGTGGCTGTGACGCGGCTGTGACGCTGCTGTGACGCAGCCATGTCGCAGCCGCGTTGCACATTGAACCGACCGCCTTCGTCTTGCAGGAGCTTATACGTTTTTGCACGCCATTTTCGTCAGTCTAACTCACGACCTAACTTCACCTTACAGGCAGCGCGGCAAACTGAATTTGGCATTTGACCGGACGATCTTCGAACAACTGAACCTGCCTTCTCAAAAGACGTGGCATTTGACGGACGATCTTCCAACAACTGAACCTGCCATCTCAAGAGATGAGGAGGGCGTTTCAAGTTTGACTTGCAAAATTCTTCTAAGGGGTCCATTTAAGAGCTGACTTGGGGACTTCTACGTGCCATAAATTTTGCATTATCGGCAGCATTTTCGTGTAGACTATCTCAGTGTACGCTCTATAAGCTATGACGTACCTCGGTTATAGCCATGACACTTTTATCTGTGTAGTTCCATAACACTGAACCAATACCGCCTTTAGACGGTTGGAAAAGAGTAGTCCGCTTCTTTGCATTTTTTATGGGAAACTTCACTACTTTTTCTGAAACATCCCGCGTAGATCCAGGTAAATTGTAGTGTTATGATCGAATATCAGCTCGTTTACCCAGATCATTAGTGCTGTCTGACCAGAGCCAGTAGACATTATTGTTTGCTTTATCAAAGCCCATAAATCTAAAGTGCTTCTCTCAGTGCCAAACAACTATCTGAATGTGAACTTACGCATTGCTTAGCGAATCTTCAGCAGAAAGATGGAGTAGTTTCTCCCAACGACTATTATCTGACGAGAGGACTTGTCCTGGTTTTGCCAAACGCTTTACTCTGTAACATCACTGAGCAGTAAGATTTTCAACGCAATTATCGGATGAGTCATCTAAAGTAAGCTCTAGCCGTTGTTCAGTACCTATAGTAAATTGCTGTACCATCCCTCTGCTCCTCATATGCTATACGAACGTTGAGATCATTGTCCAGGTATACCTCGGGAAATCGTTTGTTCCTCATCACAAGTGTCAGCTTTTTTGCCAGTAAATCGTAAGAGTAAACATTGTACATCCTGAACACACATACACTTGAGATGCAAAACGAAAGAACTCTTCCCAGCTCAGGAGTCAAAAAAAGATGAGATGTGGGTCATGTCTGACGCAGCATGTTGGGCTCACGTCGAGTTCACGTCGTTGATGCCGACGAGCAGGCGTGGATCCACGTAATTGTTACCAAGAATTTTAGCTTTAACTCCAACACGATCGGAGATGATTGATCTGGCAGACTGATTCGTCCTAATGGCTTTCTGAATGATTGTGGTATGAAGAATGTGGATGTTGAAGGGTGTGTACCAGCAAAACTTCATTTTCCAGTTTCACGTCTCGGAGCCTTGTCAACATGGGGAATCCATATCTAGGCTATTCAGAGTATAGAAATGGCGAAAATAAGCTTTCCCCAAAGCTCTCCAAGTCCGCATTCCCTGAAAAATACCTGTAATCGGGCGGGGCCCGGAACGAGGGAGACGGAGTGAATGGAAGGCTTCCGGCGTACCCTTTGATTCAACTGGCTTGGCGGCTGGAAGGCGGGGCTTCGTGACCTGATTAAGGCTAGGTAATAATCAGAAAGCACGGTGTGAGAGAGACGCAGACTGCGTCGCCGGGCGCGAGCGGCCTTAAGATCACAAAGCTCCGCCTTCCAGCCGCCAAGACAATTGCATCAAAGGTTATTTGCACCGAATGCAGACCTGAAACGCTTAAAAAAAACTCATTTTCGCCATTGTCATCTGCTGAAAAGTCCAGATTGAGATCCTCAAGGCGAATAGGTAAAGAACTGGAAAGCGAAATCTGCGGGGACGCTGCCTTCAAGGGCTGGGGATACATACACGATTTTACCGCCTCGCGATTCTACCAGTAACACAACTGTTATGAATGCAGATGACCTTGCATTCCAGTTATGATAGTTTTCTAACACAACTGATTTCAACTATTAGGGTGAACGGTAAAAAATGGGACAGCTTGATTTTCATTACATTTTGGAATTTTTTGTTTCTGGCAACAGCAAGTAAGCAGCAACTTAAACGTCGCTTACATGGGCGGCCTTCGCTTATTATTCTGACAACGCGTTAACGCTCCTCTTCCACTACCCTACACGTGGCGCCGTAAAGAACTCGAACAAGGTTTTTTGGACAATCCTCAATCTTGCGCTGTTATACCGTAAAGTCGTAAAGCAATTGACATACCATTCGAAAGAGCTCTTCATGCTCTTTCGAACGATACGTTAAATGCATAAGATTTCTTTTCAATTTCAGAAAAAAATTCGAAAAAACCTGAAAGATAGCTATTTTTGGCGCAACAAAAAACCAAAAAATCATGTTTTGCCCTATATTTTCCGAAGATAGATAAAATCTGAAAAAAGTTGCATATGGATGGATAGAGCGTAAAAAGCTCTATCAGATGATACCTAGACATCATGCGTTTACCTGCAAATAATTGAATAACGCGTATCTTTGTTCTCGAAGCTGTTGATGGGCATATCTCCTGACATTGAGAGTTAAAGCCACCAAGCCGTCGTGGGTTTGGTGACTGTCCCACCACTCACTCCAGCAGTGGTAATTTGGGTGGTCTCACATGTTTCACTGTGTCGCGGATTCGCGACTTCCTTCAAAGGAGGCCGCCGCCGCGGTGCGAAGGGGTCCTGAAACGCCGTCCTCGCGCTGTCCCGCCTCTCACCTCTCTCACCTGCGCAGCTTTCGTTTAAGTCACGTAGTCAGTCTACGCTGCTGTCGCCATCGTGAGCGGTCGGGTTCCATCTTCGTCTCAATGCCATCGATCGATCCAGCGCCAATCCCACCTCACGCGTCACATCCATCTACGCCACGGAGGACTGGCACCCCGCGCTAACGAGGTAACCCCGAGCGCGATCGCACCTGGCACATGCCGGCGACACCGCCTCGGGGGGTTTTCGATACTGCCGGCCCCTAGGGTTGTAAGATCTTGGCTGGTTGTGCTCCACCCCATTGTGTTTGAGTCTAGGGATTGATTGTGGATAAATGGTGGGCATTTACTCGTGTGATATGTATTGGAGCGGTGACCACAGCTCGACTGTGGCTCCGGAGTATTGTGTTATCATTTTGTGTGTACTTCGTACTCAAGCCTAATGGGTAACATCTGCAGGAAGGCTGGCACGATGCATGCTAAGTGCCACGGTTGTGAGTACACGCCCCAGCTGTCGATGGCTGGAAGCATAGGTCGAGTCCCAAGTGACGAGTAGCTACTAAGCAGGCTGGTGGCAAGGGCCCCTAAGTGTGTACGGAGTTCCCATGTGGCAGGCCCATAGAGCAGTTACACAGGTAGCCACCTCACACGTTGCGCTTCACTATTCTCACGGAGCGGACCCCTGGCTCCCCTCGCCGATGCAGGAGAGCAATTATACCACTGACGTTGGGAGCTGGGGGCCCAATCCGCGACATGGTGCATCGGACCGGAGTTGAGCATAGGGATAGCAAACCTATGTTCAGCTTTTGTGATCGAGCCTCACCTGTGTAGTCCACATGTGCACGCTTTGCACATTAGTGTCCCTAGCCAGCAGTGCAAATTTTATCACATTTCCCCATTTCACATGTTTGCGCAGTGTACACATGCTGGTTGTACCTTGTGGCTCTTTAGAGAACTCATCTTTCGTTTCATCAGCCAGCTCCGACGCGACTAGGTTGACGCGAGTACGCGACTACCCACAGTTCCACTTAGCTGAGAGTGGGGTGATCCCGCAGACCTGGTGGCAGCAGCCATCTGCGCCCTGCCCACTGTCCGGAACTGTCTGGTGCCTTCTGGTGGCCAGGTTTCTCTGCAGCCATTGAGATGGTTCGGCTCTGTCTGCCCTGAAACACGCCATCAGGCCGACGAACGAGCCCTGTATGTTATGTCTGATGAGAGTCTCGCCCCTAAATTCATTTCTTTCCCACATGCTCGCATTGCGCACTCATTCCTCTTTCCCTCCTTTTTTTGCAATTTGTGGCTAGGCTTAGTCAGTGACGGTTCCTTGCGATCGATACTGCTTTCGTCATCGGTACTCATGCCCCATACTAACCCCCCGGAGTTTCAGTTGTTGCTTGTTGTTCATCGTTTCACGCATTTCGCTCGTGTATTATGTTCACCATTTGTGTGGCTACGTCCGGAAGTAGTCACACCCCCATCGAACACATTTATGGAGTACAATTTCAGACTTTGGGTTCGCAGTTACTACCTCCTGCAAGCTACCGAGTTAGCGCACTGTCGATCGATATGACAACCGTAGAATCCTACATCCCCAAGGTCGTCAAAGCCATCGACGACCTTGAAGCGACTAGGAGACAGGTAAGTCCCGACTTGCTTACCCCGTATGTGTCTGACGCCCCAGTTGCGGAGCAGCTCCACCAGCTCCAGCTTCGTCAGGCAGCCACACAGCTTCACATAGTGAGTCTGAGATCCGCACTTTCGCTTCTGCGTGATCGTCGTGACGTACTCCTATACCACATTACTACCTCCAGTTCGCCGACAGATCAGCAGGCGTACAGCAGGTTCGAGGAAGAGCACAGCGTGGATCAACATCTGGCAGACGCTGAAGCACTCCTCCGCACCTTGCAGAGTACGCAGGAAGCGGATAGTGAACGCTCTGAGTCTCTTCGTATCCATCGACTCGCTAATTCCATCAGTGAGGATGCTGTTACGGGGACGACAGGAACAGTGACGACGCCCCAGCGACAAGATCGCACAGACGCCCCACAGCTTCAAGCTGTAGATACCCAGTTGGACGTTGCACAGCAGCTGGAACATCTTCAGCTTACATCCGCACAAACTGCCCCATCGTCGCACAACGTACCGATCCATTTGGAGAAGTTAACGTTGCCGCATTTCGATGGAGATGTCACCAAGTTCCAGCAGTTTTGGTGCACGTTTGAGCTAGCTGTTCACAACGACCCCAACATCGACCTCAATATGAAATATCTCTACCTCATGAATTTGCTTAGGGGAGAAGCCCAAGTGGTGTTGCAGGATCTTGAACCAGGACGGAACAATTACCATCACTTAGTGCAAGCATTGAAGAAGCGATACGACTGCCCGAGGAGGACCAGAGCGCTGTTTCATCAGCAGCTCCGAGATCTTCAGCCCGCAACCGAATCAGCTTCGGATATGCGAAACACTTGGTTCCGGATTCAGGGAATTCTTCATGCCCTTACGCGTTTCGAGGATCTGAATCGTGCTCTTTATATCATCGATCTCGTACGCACTAAGTTCCCCCTGTCAATCCAGGAGCGGCTTAACAACGTCGAGTTCGAGAAACGAGCCGATTTTGATCTTCGACAAGTCATGTCTCACCTCGATGACCTTATTCAGTCAAAGGAGAGGTTTGAGCAGACTTGCTCCCGCAGTCGTACGTACGTTCTCAATAGAGATATTTCCCCAGGACGTCCATTAACGTCTACATCCCCCAGATCATTGCATGATCCCGCATGTTGCTTTTGTGATTCCCTTTCGCACTCTTCTCGCAGTTGCGACGAGCGTATGCCAGTTGGTGTGCGTCTTAAGATCGCACATCTTCTGCGACTATGCTTGAAGTGTCTTCGAGAAGGACATTCCCAAGGCGATTGCGACTATCCATCTTGCAAGGAGTGTGGAGGTCAACACCATCGACTTCTCTGTAGGCTCGCGGAAGAGGAGGATTGTACCCGAGAACGTCAGTCGTCTAGCTCATCTAGTTCGTCTGATTCGTCATCGGAGAGGCAGCCAGCTGCGGAAGGAGACGATCAACCTGGAGAATCCTCGGATTTTGAAGATCCAGCACGGGATAGCAGAAGATCCCGAGACTATTCTCGTGATCATCACTATCATCCGCGCGAACATAGAGGATATCGCAGCAGACTGGATGCTACCCCACGATCGGATACACAATCCCCATCTCGACCCGTACGTTCCGTACCAGTCAGAGAATCCCCACATGTTTCTCCTTCGCCCACGCGTCGTAGAACACCATCGCCACAGATTCCATCTCCCACGGGAACGTCCAGACGTCGACGCCACCGAAGACGCTATAGGGATCCGAAGTGGGTGCGTAGAATTGCCCGTACCCCAAGCAACCCACCCCATTGATACCTCGCAGGCCTACTGCCGTTCCGCAGCAGCTTCGTTCTGCCCACAGACATCCACTCACACTTTGCGTTATCACATTTATATTATATCTGTTTACTTTCAGCAGCCTCCTTCTCTTTCGTGGTCACGGACGTTCGAAGCTGTATTTAGGCCGGCCAGTTACATCTTGTTGCTTCGTCGC